AGGTATCCTATGTAAGTTTTCATTAAATTAAAATAATCGGATTAGTTACCTCTGAATCTGCTCGAACAGTTCTTTTTGAAATGGATCCGGGTCGTTTTTGATTTGCATTTATTGATGGACATGAAAAATCAAAACGATTTCTAAAAATATATATTTATCATAGATTTAAACAAAAACAAAAATACCCACCCACACCCATTTTCTAGAAGTGAAAGCAATAGTGGAATAGCTCCAGTTAAACGTATTTTTCTTCGGCCATCTTCATTATCAGCACAACTTCTTAAACACCAAATAGCATGTTCAAGAACTTTAACATTATTATGACTCAAATAACTTAAAATTAATGAAAGAAAAAAAAGAAAAAAAAAGAATTTCAATCGACAAAAAAAAATTAATTTTTATACCTTGTAAATGTATCTAGAAAATCAGTTGGTATATGTGGAATATATTGACGTGCTTCAGGATGTGCAAGAAAAGTTTGCATAAGATGCAAAGATAGTCTAATATGTCAAATAAAATTAAAATTTAATATTGAAACAAAAAAATTCAACATACTGTGTTGTTTCAAGATCTTTATATTCAAGTAGATGAAGTAAATTTTCAATAGTTTCTGCTTTAAGAAATTCAGTTATATAAAATTCTCTTTAAAATAAATTAAAAAAAAAAATATGAAGATATAAATTGACATGCAACAATTATATACGTTTTATCAATCATATGTAATAATAATCTTAATGTGTCATGTAATAGTGGAGAATCTCGATTATTATTTAATAAATGTGTAATTGATTCAATCATATTACTCGATATTAAATGCTCTCGTTCAACATGATTTGGTGTACTCTTTAAAATTTTTTGAAGAATATCTATAGTAACAAAGAAAAAACACGATAAATATGTATCTTTTCTTTGAAAAATACTTACTAAGCATATGTCCTAGAGCTTTAGACGCTATAGATGATGATTCATTACTACTATCAGATAAATCTGGTGAAAGCCTATGAATATAGATATCCATTTGCTAAAATGAAAAAACATATTGATTGTAAATATAATTATTTTGTTAAATAAACATACTTTTTTCAAACCGTTTAATCCATTTTCTTGAACGAAGATAAGTAGGTAATCAGGATCACGTAATAAAATTCGTAAACAATAAAATGCAGTTAGCGAGACGAGTGTTGTTGAACTAAAAAAAAAAAGTGAAGAATATTTTTAATAGAACTATTTGAACCTTCTGGGTATTTTCATTCATTCAAAATAATTTTTATTCAGTAATTCTTCTGCAAATAATCAATTGTATACAAATGACGCCAATGAAAATCATTTATTTAAACTCCTAACAGACAAAATTTGTTTTAGATCGATGTTATTTTTTTTTCTCTTTATTTTAATAATGTATTTTTATCTGAATTGAAAACTTACGAGTCAAGTAATTTTTTCTTCATAAGGAAACGCAGAATCTAGAAGAAAAAACAGAAGTATCAACACAAACTATTTTTCAGATTTATTATAGATGATTACATACACTCAGAAAATATTTTTGCTCTTTTGTATTTGAAAATTTCGCTTGAGTACTGTAGCTTGCTCTGAAAAAAAACAAATAATAATAATAATAATAATAATATAAAACATAATCCAGAGAATAACTAACTGAAAATGTTCTAATGCTTTTTCTTCGGCTTCTTGATCATCTCTTTTATTACTACGTTCCAATTCATTGAAAATTTCATTTACAGTGATTCGTTCCATCGTACTAAAATATTATCATATAATAAATAGCAAAGCAAAGCAAAGTTTTTTTTTTCTTTTATTATACTTACTTTCGTTTACTTCGTTCATTAATTGCCATATATTTTACATCAACAAAGTTACTGTAGATGATTGATTTATTTTTTTTTTGTTCAACTAAAAAACGATAGAGAAATTTTAATTTTTAAACAAGTTAAATTAAGTTATAATGACAATGATTTTATCCGACGGTAGCTCGAGATTAATATACAGCGACAAAACAGAACATCTGTTTATTCATTTTCAATGTATAAAAGAAATGTATGAGTCATCGAGCAGTATTATAATTTTTAAGATGTTCTTTTATTATCAGGAACTCATAAATATCAAGGTATTTCAATTCAATTGTTTCTTTCTCTTCAACTATTTCATAACTACACTCTCAAAAGAACATTTTTATTTCATCATCATTAAAACTAAATAAAAGAAAAAAAAATATATATATAACATGGTCTCAATTGTAATCGACAATGCCAGGTGTTTATTTACACCTATTCTTCTGTAATGTTCGTTCATTCTAAACGTACTTCAATAATCATCAATTAACGACATCTATTTAAAATATAGAAAAAAAAAACAACAAAAATATTTTTTATTCTTCATAATAAAATTTAAAATAATAAAAAAAATTCAACAATTTCTTTTTCTTTCAACAAAAAATTATTTTGTTCTTCATATTTATAAATATTTTACACACAAAAAGAGGTCATTTATTATCTGAATGGCAAATCTAAACAAAGGGCATCATGCATTGTCTGTCAGACAGAAGTGTCAAACTTGTTGTTTCTTTTATCTAATCAATGCGACCTTGATAAGAAAAGACAAAAAATTTATTATAATTTTTTCAGATTTCTTCAATGTATTAAGTGTGTGTGGTGTGAGTGTGTATCTAACTAGTCATCGATATTAAAACTTGTTTTTTCTTCCAATTATTATTTATTTTTTATTTATCTATTAATTCTCATTTATTAATTATAATTCAATAATAAACAAAAATGGATCAAGAACGTGCAATGATGATTTTTTTGTCTTATCAAAAATTACGAATGCCAACATTTAGTGTCCGGCAACGACGCACTGAAAATCCATTACGTGAACGTTTACTCGTTCGAAAATTTATTGCACAATTAGAAACATAGTAAATTTAAATCTTATATTTTAATAAATAAAATTTAATTTTAATATTTAGTTATTTCTATCAACAACAACAACAAGCTCAATGGCAATATTATAAAGAACAAGAGACAATGACATCAACAAATAATCAAACAAATCAACAAGATGAACAAATAAGTCAGATGGATGTTGATCGAGTAGGTGATTGTATTTTAATATTATTATTTATTGATTTTTTTTTTTTGTTTTCAATGTTTCTCAAAGGAAATTGATGAACAAAATGAAACTGAAGATGAAACAACAGTTAGTGATGATGAAGATAATTCAGTTTGTTCGATTGTTATGTCAACAAATAATAATGATAATAATAATTCAGTTTCACTTGATACGTCTGATCTAATGAAAAATTATGCACTTATGCTCGAAGTACCAACAACATTAACAACACAAAATGATCAAATATAACAAACCAAAACTAAAAAAAAAAAAAACAAAAAAGAACACAGTATTATCTTTTGTTTATCGATTATATGTGCAATGTGTGACCATCTATATTTTTGTCAGACAAGAAATATTTGTGTCCTTTTTTTAGTCATGTCTCTCTACAAAAACGAAAAATGTCAGATGCTCTTTCTGAACGAATGATTCTCTTCATTAAAATGCTAATTTTTTTTTTGTCTTAATAATCCTATTTTTTTTTTGCTTCTCGTGCGTATCAGATGTCACACTTATTAGAATTTGTGTGAAACTTTTGCACTGCGAAGTCTGTGCCTTTTCTCATTTTTGTCTTTTCGTTTCATTGCAATAACTTGTGTTTTTTTTTGTTTGTTGTATCTCCAAATTATCTTGGTTTATCTTTATTCCTTTTCTTTTTTTTTTTTTTGATAAGAAAATAGTCAATTCCTATGTTTGTCAAAACATGATACACAAAAAAGGAACTGAAATAAAATTCCAGAAATAGATTTATTGCATATGAAAAATTTCAATTGTTATTTGTTATATGTTGGACATGTATTTTGCTAGTCATTAATCAATCAGAAAAAAAAAAGTCAAGTAGATGAAAAAAAAAAAAAAAAAGAGAAAAAGAAGAAGAAAAAGAGATTGCTTTGATTTTTTTTTCAAGTTTGTTCGCCGTCTTTTCTATTCTGTTGCGACAACAGTAAATGACAATTCTACATTAGCTTATGACGACAACGGCAGTAAACGACGGAATAATCTTGTTTTCGTTCTGTTGTGCTTAACGTAACAATACAAGTACAAATTTATTTTACAAAACGACTACCAGTTTAAAGTATACAATGGCATCGGCAACAGCACTTGCAAGTTCAGTTTCATCAACAGCTGCACGTCGACTTCACTATCAATCACAAATATCTAACACATCAATTTCACATAATCAAAATTTTTCTAACGGTGAAACATCAAATCTTACTGATTCATTTTCTGCATCATCAATAGCTATCAATCCATTGGTAACAATAGTCTATTCAAATACATCATTATTACAAGGTATGTTATAATAATAGTAAGAATTCAGCCCGTTAATGTATATACATGCCTCCAAGCAGCAAATCCACTTACTATCGTTGTTGCTAGAGTATAGAAGAAGAGAGCACAATATTGAAGTGCGCACATTGCTCATGAGATCGAAGTCAGGCGAACGAGAGAGAAAGTGAATGAGAAAGAAAATGATTTGCAAACAACATAAAACAGAACAATTTGGTGGAGTGTGCGTGAAGAGAAGAGAAAGTCCTCATTTTGATTGAGCAACAAAAAAAGACAAGTGAACATAACGACAATTAGAAAAAACAAACATGGAAACAAGACGTAATTCATCAGTAAGCTCCATTACAGGAATACGAACAGCAGATTTACGAAAACAAACTATCTCAGGACCTTGTACTTTTATTCGGATAGTACATAGTGGTAGGTGATAAAAAAAGTTCATTGATAAAAGCAAAAGATTTCTTCAATTATCTCTTCATATTTTAAAATAAACAGATCTATTTTGTGTATAAATAGAAAATCAACAATTACTTCTCAATAGTTACGCATCTTGTCGTCGTCTACTTGATTATATGAAACAAGTTGTTGGTATACCTCAAGATGGTAAAACGATCGATTTTTTGATTTCAACAAAAAACTTCGTTATTTCTCTTTTCCTATATTCAAAGAAACAATCGATCTGATGGACAATGAAGGAAAAATAAAAGAGCTGAATATGCATTTTGATGACTATGCTACACAATTTCTTACTGCCAGAAGTACTTATTATGTATTGAAAGTTGAAAGTAAACATAATCATTATTGATGTAAATTTATCTTATATTTTATATTAAAAAAATCGATTCTAGCTGATAGTCAGACTGGCGAAAAGCGTTATACGCCAAGTTTTAATCTTGATCAAATCGATCAAAAATTGGGAACAATATTAACAAGTAACTTTAAATTGATCATAATAATAAATAATAACAAAAAACAAATATTTGTTTCAGATTCATTGAATACATTAAATAAATCTGTAAGACAACCAAAACGTCCTACTGGACCATCACGACAAAATACAACTGTTCAATCATCTGCTAATACACCACAGTCAAAAGCTAAACGAGCTTCAAGTCGTAAACAAAACTAGGCTAAATTAAACTATTTTTTTAAAACCATTTCCCATAACAAATTTTTACGGTATACGATTTGATTTTTTTTTATTCTTGTTAATATTTGTATTTTTTTTTCTAATATTTGTTTTTTGAATGGATGCATATTCTTGTGAATTGATTGATAAACAGAAAAAATTGTTTTTTCGACTTGACTTATAGAGATTCAAACAACTTAAAAGCATTGGAATAAGGTATTTTTATGTCTAGCTACTTCAAAGAGTAGATGCAGAAGAATAGCATTATTTGAAAATTTAAGATTTAAAGTGCAAAATATACATATTTAAGGAAAACCTTTTGTGTTCAGATTTTTCTATAAAAATATTTATGTTGGGCAAGCTTGTTGCATTTTTATATTTGAATTTCTACTGACGTTTTAAAATGAGTTGCATCTCTTTTATGTCTTCTTGTACGAATGACAAAGAAAAATAGATCTGAAAAATGATCATTATATGGTGTTTTTTTTATGGGGCAGAGTTTTTTTTATCTGAATGAATGCATCGAATGGATTTTGTTTCTTTCAGATAATTAGAAATCATGATACCTCGCATTTGATAGGAAAGATACTCATATATGGCTTTTTTTTGCATCTTACTTTCCTAGGCTTATATCTTCCAAGCGGAACAAGAATATATATATTTTTTCCGCTTTCATGATTATTTTACCTGATGTGATTATTTATAATAGGTGGAAACATAAATGAATTCAGTTTCTTGTCAATTATTATATCCTTCATTAGCACAGGTTGTTTTTTAACGAATAATAAAAGTAGAAAGTTTTTCATAGAAACATCTGACTCAAGAAGTCATAAAATCAAAAAAAGAAATTATGTTTTTCAAATTCATTGATGAAAAGTGACATTTCAATTAAGAAGATGCAATGAATTTCATTTCTAATCAAAACCATGCAATGAAATTGATGAAAATGTCTATTTTAATATATGCATTTCAAATACATCATTCTTTTTTGTCCGCTTTACCATTTTAATGGCATCTTTTTGATTTTTTTAACACCACATGAAGGACGTATTTTCTTGCAAGACTTTTCCAAAAAAAGAATTATCTCTAACTCAATTTGATACGCTTTATGTAACGAAAATAGTTTCGTCCATTTTTTGGATTAGATGGAACCATATAGTAAAAAAAAAGTACAGAATGAAAATTTTTTATTTGTCAGTTTTTTGACAGAATCTTTGGTTTCGTTTGTTAATGTTACTTTGGTTGTTATATGGCCCCTATTCATAGTTTTAGCCAGTTCATTCTATAAACTGTAATCAAATGGATATGAG